ACGGTGCCCCTGCGTGACAGACTTATGCTGCCTCCAGCTATGCCCCTTGGTGTCCGGCCTGCCAGAACCTGCAGCCCGAGTGGGAGAAGTTTGCCGAGTGGGGCGAGGACCTGGAAGTGAACATTGCCAAAGTGGATGTCACGGAGCAGCCGGGTGAGTCCTGACGCCTTCCCCGGGGTTTGGGGCTTCTGAGCGCTCGGGGAACGCGGTAGGTGCCAGCGTGTGAGCGTTCAGAAAATCAAGACTCGGTGGGAGTAATAAAGATCTCTTCCTGATCTCTCTGATGCAGCTGTATAGACTAAGCAGTCTGGTCTGTCGTAGCAGATAAACAAGGAGGTTACTCTAGAAAGTGACTTGGAGAATTTCACAGGGGTTTTTGGCCTTATTCCTAAGCATCGTGCAGAGCAAAAAAAGTGGTTTCAGCCGTCCCTGTAGTAGTACCTCCCTTTGTTGGCAGAAGGGAGTGCAAGCAGTCTGGTCTCCCTCAGCTGAAGCTCCCTTCTCTGAATCACTCTCCTGTCTGCTGGGGGGTGTTTATAAAAGTGACCTTGTCCGTGCTAGTGCGCTTTTCCAAAGTCACGTATGAACTTTTGAAACTTGTCTCATGTGGATTCTTTTCTGCAAGCACCGGAGGTTGCAGATCACGGGGGAAGAGAAGAGAGCATCTCTCTCTGGAGAGCCACACCCAAAGCAGCCCAGTAGAACAGTTATCTCCAGACATCTCTTCCCCTGCCCTAGAGAGATTTTCTTGCTCTTTGTCCAGGAATTCTCCTTTTAGACTGTGTGCAGCACTTTGACATGCACAAGTTTGTGTTTGATCACAATGAAAGATTGATACCTGAGCAGCTGTTTTTATTCCAGTGTATCATAACATTTCTCGCCTTTTCTTACGTAAGAGTGCTCTAATATTCTGAAAATAACTCTTTTCTTCCAGGATTGAGTGGACGATTTATCATAACAGCTCTTCCTACCATCTATCAGTAAGTATACAGTGCAGCAGGATTTTTTTGAGGGGAGAGGACATTTTGTTTTCCTTGCTTTTTGGGCAAATGAATGAGATTTACCATGCTCTTTAAGAATGTGGGTTACTTTACACACAGCCAACCACTGTCTTACCTGCTGTGACCTTACAGTCCTGCCAGTTGGGTGTTTTCCTTTTCCCTTCAGGCCTTATTTATTTTGTCTTTTCATGGGTGTGTCTGTTTTGCAATCTTTTCTCTGTAGGTTGACCTTAAAGCCTTTGTGTGGTGCAGTAGGAAGATCACTGTCCTTTTTATGGATTCACAACCTAAAGCTAGCCAAGATACGCTTGGAGTCAGGATTCTAGCAATACTTGTAGTCGAGATGTTTGGAAACATTTGAGAGCCAGTTTCAGCAAAGTGAAACTAAAAAAAAAAATAGGCAGTGGGATGGGAGGGAAGATCCTACGATCACAGAATGGTTTGGGTTGGAAGGGACCTTAAAAGTCATCTAGTTCCAACCCAGCAAATGCTGCATGCTTGGAGTGCCTAAAAGAAAGGCTTACTTTGTCTTACAGCTGTAAAGATGGAGAGTTCAGGAGATACCAGGGTGCAAGAACTAAAACAGATTTCATAAACTTCATCAGTGACCAGGAGTGGAAATCTATTGAACCGGTTTCATCATGGTTTGGTCCTTCCTCTTTCCTGTAAGTTTTGGTATGGTTTTTATAACAACTGTGTGGGACTGTGTGCACGAGCAGAGCAAAAATGTCCTGAGCAAGGCTTACTTTAAGGCTTCAAGTAGGCGGATGTGTTGGTCTACTGAGCTCTCATAGGTAATTTACTGATGATGCTTAAAGTTCTTCTTTTGATTACACAGCAGAAGGATGCTTTGCCCACCGAAATTCTAGGAAATCAGCAATAAGAAAGGGGAGCTAACATAGCAATGTAGTTGTAAGATACAGGCTGGCCATTGGAGAAGACGCATCTTCAGTGCAGAGTGGAAAGGCCAAGGTTCCTTCGCTGAAGAATTGAACTGGGGAGACTGTGGTCTGAGAACCACGCTCTTGGGGAGACTTTCTAGTTTTGTGGCTTTGAAGTGCTTTCAGTTGTCGCTGCATGTGCTGTGTGGTGGTTTCAGAGTTGCCGAGTTCACTGAGTTGGGGATGCCATCGGTTGAGGCAAAGGAACCCAGGTAGTTGTTCATGGTTTCTCTTCTGTTAGAGCAATGGTCTTTTTCACTTGTATGTAAAACAGGGCTAAACTTCAGTGTCTGAAGATGTCTCAGTTCTTAGATAAGCTGATTTTTTTAATAGATTACTTTTTTGTTTTAATGAAATGTCCAGATGCTTCGTTATTCATATCTGGGATAGAGTTCCAACTGGCTTCTCAGAGACTGGTGGTCCGAATATGCTTTAGAACATAAACAAAAGTAACTGAAATTCATATGTCAGCAGATCCAAGTCAAGGAAGTTTGTGAATCGGTAGTGGTCCATACGTGGAACATTTTCCAAGCTGATATTGGTACCAAAGGTACCTTCGCAGGAAGCGGGTGAAGTAAAAGACAGAACAGAAGGAAGGTGAAAGTCAAAGTAGGTAGAAGGGAAATCAGAGGTGAGAGAAAGGTGTTCAACACGGGACTAAGCAGTGAGTAGTCGGGCAGGTCAGAAGATACGGGAATGTGACTGGCTTAAAGATGTTTTCAATTATCTTTTTCTGCTTCCTTTCAGGATGAGCAGTATGTCAACCTTGTTTCAGCTGTCAATGTGGATCAGGGTATGTGCTTAGCTCTCTACCTTATTTTACCTTAGCACACATGATATTCAGCTATTCTTGAAGTAATTCTCTTGTCTCTTATTCCAGCACTGCCATGGTTATTTAACAGAAGATATTGGAATACCAGTCTGGGGCTCATACGCTGTTTTTGCGTTAGCAACTCTGTTCTCAGGACTGATACTGGGGCTTGTAAGTGAAGCGCTTGAAACAGATTGGTTTGTGACTGCTGTGCGTTACACTGATGCCTTCTCTGTCTCGGTCTTTAATAGTTAAGGCCAGTTCTCGGGGTACCCAGCCCCCTGAGCTGGGAGAGAGGGATGGGGAGCAGAATGAAGCTCCCATAATCCAAGGGGAAATGGTTAGTGGCCTGCTGCACCACTTAGACACACACAGGTCCATGGGGCTGGATAGGATCCACCCAAGGGTGCTGAGGGAGCTGGTGGAAGGACTCACCAGGCCCCTTTCCATCATCTACCAGCAATCCTGGCTAACTGGGGAGGTCCCAGTTGGCTGGAGGTGAGTCAGTATGACCCATCTACAGGAAGGGCCGGAAGGAGGATCCAGGGAACTACAGGCCTGTCAGTCTGACCTCGGTGCCAGGGAAGGTTATGGAGCAGATCATCTGGAGTGCCATCACATCGCATATACAGGACAATGGGGTGATCAGGCCCAGTCAGCGTGGGTTTGTGAAAGGCAGGTCCAGCTTGACTAACCTGATCTCCTTCTGTGACAAGTGACCTGCTTAGTGGATGAGGGAAAGGCTGTGGGTGTTGTCTGCCTGGACTCGAGTAACGCCTTTGACTGTGTTTCCTAGAGCATTCTGGAGAAACTGGCTGCTCATGGCTTGTAAGGGTGTACCCTTTGCTGGGTTGAGAACTGGCTGGATGGCCAGGCCCAAAGAGCGGTGGGCGATGGAGTTAACTCCAGTTCGCAGCCCGTCACAAGTGGTGTTTGTTCCCCAGGGATCAGCGCGGGGGTCGGTTCTCTTTAACACCTTTATCGATGACCGGGACAAGGGCATCGAGGGCACCCTCAGTCAGTTTGGAGATGACACCAAGTTGGTGGGAGCGTTGATCAGCCTGAGGGCAGGACGGCTCTGCAGAGGGATCGGGACAGGCTGGATCCATGGGCCGAGGCCACTGTGTGAGGGGCAACCAGGCCAAGGGCCGTGTCCTGCCCTTGGGCCACAAGAACCTCTGCAACACTCCAGGCTTGGGGACGAGGGGCTGGAAAGGTGCCTGGCGGAAAAGGATCTGGGGGTCTTGGTCGACAGCACCTTAATATGATTCCCGTGTGCCCAGGAGGCCAAGAAGGCCAACGGCATCCTGGCTGGCATCAGGGACAGTGTGGGCAGCAGGAGCAGGGCAGGGATCATCCCCCTGTGCTGGGCACTGGTGAGGCTGCACCTCGAGTGCCGGGGTCAGTTTTGGGCCCCTCACTCCCAGAAAGACACTGAGGGGCTGGAGCGTGTGCGGAGAAGGGAACGGAGCTGGGGAAGGGGCTGGAGCACAATTCCTGTGAGGAGCGGCTGAGGGAGCTGGGGGTGTTCAGCCTGGAGAAGAGGAGGCTCAGGGAGACTTTATCGCTCCCTACAGCTCCCTGACAGGAGGGTGCAGAGAGGGTGGGTGGGGGGTGAGTTTGGTCTCTTCTTCCAAGGGACAAGTGATGGGACAAGAGGAAACGGCCTCAAGTTGTGCCAGGGGAGGTTTAGATTGGATTTCAGGGAAAATGTCTTCCCGGAAAGGGCTGTCAGGCACTGGAAGGGACTGCCCAGGGAGGGGGGAGTCACCATCCCGGGAGGGGTTTCAGAGCCGTGTGGATGTGGTGCTCAGGGACATGGGTCAGTGCTGGGATTGGCCGTGCTGGGTTAACGGTTGGACTGGATGGGCTTAAAGGGCTTTTCCAACCTAAATAATTCTGTGATTCTGCAGGATGTTTAGAGGTTTAAACTTGTCTTTCTTTGGTTGCAGATAATGGTGTTCTTAGCAGACTGTATCTGTGCATCCAGAAGGCACAGACTGCCACAGTATCCTCATGCAAGTAAGCCCACTGTGTACTTCTCAGTCAGTGAAGCTGTTGGGTAAACTTAATAAATATCAGCATTAACTTGTGTCTGCAGGACATGAGATTTAGTGTAAAGGTTTGCACTTGTGATTGATGCTTTGCTTTACCTGCAGCTGTATGCCCGTAGGGTTTATAGTGGGTTTGTATTTAGCTGAAGCTGAACTAATTGTAACATTTTTCAGAAGATAGAAAAATGTTTTTTACAGGATTTTCATACCTGCAAGATAAGAAACTCCATATGTGCAGAGAGATAAGAGGAGAAGTTCCAAGTGGAGCTCTCTGTGTTGGGGGTTTGCATAAGTTTGAGGGGCAAAGTGAGGATTAAAAGTGAATTTGCACCTCTGTGCGAATGCTACTGGTGGCTGCTACTGGAACATGCTACCTGGATTAAAGTTGTTACAATTCTGTGCTGGCCTGTGGTGTTAAAAACCCATGTACTTCACATGGTAACTGTGTTGTGTTTGCTTTTCTCTTAAGGAAAGCTAGCTCCAGAGTCAGCTCAGCTGCTGAAAAAGCTGGATGAAGAGCAGGAAGCGGATGAGGAAGATCTCTCCAACAATGAGACGGAGAGTAGAGAGGTGCCCAACACAGACTCCTCACTGAGTGCTGTGAGACAGCGCCCAGTCAACCCTGCTGCTACCACGGATCAATCGTAGCTTTATTTGCATGCAGGTTTAGTGTTTGAGTCACCGACTCAGGAGGAGCTAAATGTCAAATCTTTTGGCTTGAAGAGAAGAATGACTCCCGTCATGGTAATATTGATGCATTTCATGAATTCAGGAAAAATAAAGGCATTTTTGGCATCAGGTGTTCAGAACTAAAATATGCTGTTGCAAATGGCTGGAACTTTTCCTGTCTGTCTGCAGGGAAGCGCCAAGAAATAATTTATGTGGCTTCTTGAGTGACTTGTTTCGTAGGGATTTCTCGAGCAGCATGTAAAGCAGTGTACCTGTTCCCTTAGGGAACACTGGTGAGGAAAATGCACTGGCCTGTGCGCTGTTACAGCATTCCAAAAGGTTTCTCTGTGTAAATCTATCTAGTTTAGGCTCTGAAGGGATCGAGGGGAAAAGTTCCTTCAGTTATGGGCCATGTTCCAGGCTTTTTACGTGGTGAAAACAACTGCTTTCTGCTCTGGCAATGAGTGCTACAACCCCCTGGTCTGTCTTCTTCCGCAGAGGTGAAAGTTGCTCTCGTCGTTCAGAGGGACAGAAGCTGCCCTCGGAGCGAAAGCTGGAGAGCTTGTCTCTGCCATCCTCCCGTGGAAGTTACTACAGGCTCTCTGTGTAGTCTCAGGCTGACCAGAAATCCGTTTCTTTTTGAAAAGGCTGTAGAAAACTAGATGTGCTTCTTGGCAAAGTAATTCTTCTCTAGGAAAAAAAAAATGCCTAATAGCATCACGAAGTCTTGTTTGTCTCAGTGACTCCGATTCAGATGGGAACAGTTTACACGCAGGGTTCCCTGCTGGGAGCAAATCCTATCCGTTCATCCTGCTGGTTGGCAGTAGGACTCTGCTTTTTTTTTTTTTTAATACATCATCAGTGATTTCTGCTTAAATCAGGTTTTACTGCAAATCCAGTCAGGCTGTACCTGGTCTGATGTTGAGTGAACGCTTCATTTCTTTTACAGAAAGTCATCTTTTCTGTTTTCACAAAACCATCTTGAAACAACGTACCCTAATTGCTTCTTTAAAAACCCCTGTAGCTTACTGTTTGCTGTATGGTACCTGTTTGCACTCTGTATAGAAATAAAAGGAATGCACACGTGCGTTGGGCCGGTGTTATCTTGCATTGCTTGTCAAGAATTTTCCGTAGGCCTTCAGTTAATTTCCAAGGGATGGGTTGTCCTAACGCTGAGCACACTTAGGTTTGTTGTTGTTGTTGTTGGTTTTTTTTATAAGCCTGGTCTTGCTGGGGCTTTTTGCTATTTTTTTTGCTTTGGGTTGTGTGAATCGTTCATCCGAGTGGGTTTGCAGGACTGAGAGTGGATAAATCTGTGCCTTGGTCGCGAGTGACTGAGAACCACAGCCACGTGCTTGCTGTGATCTGGATCTCTGAAGCCAGGCTCTCCTTGTGATTATTAACGAGACAGAGCATCGGACAGTGAGCTCGTAGTGAAGGATATGGAGTAAATATTGGGAGAAACTATGCCAAGCTCTCGGGAGTGAATCGGCTTGTGATGCTGTTCAGAACACATCATGTGTATTTGTTAGTCTTGGATCCTTCTTTTGGAGTTGCACGTAGAGCCCATCTGAGAGGTCGTAATTAATACGCTGTCAGGAATGGGAAATAAAAATGATTGAGCTATCCAAAAACCTGGATGAATCTTCCACCAAGTTCTTGGATGAGTAAGAATGAGTTATGTAAGATGTCCTGGAATGCTCCCTCTGACCCTTTTCTCTTGTTGTCGACATCGATCCTCTGCAGTGACTTAGGACTTGAGTGCTGGGTTGGGTGTTAGGAAGACGGAACCCCTCGAAAGGGTCCTTTTTGGGTAAGATCTGAGTGTTCCTGTCGCTTTTTTTTTCAATCTGAAACCCTTTCCTGGTGTTTTGAGTGAAGACCGCTGTGCCGTAAATGCCCTTAAGGGGTTGGTCTTGTGGGGTTGCCTTAAATGCTGCGGAAGTCTCGATCCTGGCCTTTGTCACTGGTTGAATAAAGCAATAAACCCGTGATGTGCTAAGGAGAGCTGGTGGCGCTGTCTCTGACAAATGCTGTGTTTCCTTCCTTTGGCGAGGGCTCGGGGAGAGGGGAGACAGAGCTGCCGGACGCTGTTGGTGGGGAATGGCGTTGAATTGTTTTAAAATAAATATGGGCTAGCTCCCCTTGGAATATGTTTAAATGTAGCTGTTACCAACGCAGGGGTTTCTAATTTCGGGGGTTATTTTAAAACTGTTTGTGCAATATAGAAAGTATATACTGATAACTTTTGGCTAACTTCCTTTTAGAAGAACAACCAACCCTTTTTCTTTCCTTGCTGTACTTCTAGACTCCTGCTTTAACAAGAACTTCGAGCGCTTGTTTACCCTGCCCTTGCCTTCTGCACACCTACCTTTTCTTACCTGCCTTAGGCAAGTAACCAAATGCCAGACCCGTCTCTTAGTCCTCAGCGTTCCCAGTGGCTGGAATCCAGCCTCTGCGTGGCCGACCTACGTGATGAGTGTAACCGGGGCGAGCTCTGGTTTGACTCTCCGTAGGCAGCCAGTGTTTGTCGGTCTCTGTAACTCTTACTGTTCCTATTTTTAGTAATGCTATGGTTTTGTCCTGTGAATATTTAAGTTTCTTGATATTTTTGTTTTTAGAAATCTATATTCCAAAGATGTTTACTGAGGCTGAGCGAAGGTTGCAATGTGACAGATGTGTGTAAGAGCCTGTGCTTCGTGTGTGTTGATGATGCTTGAATATTGGTTTTGTAAAAGTCAGACTGCCCTTTCCATACCGTCCCCTTGACCGAGCATGTCTGCTTTCATTCCAGGAGGAATTCACTGTAACGATACCTTTTTTTTATGTTTCAGAGAGTCTTCAAGTAAAAAATAACCACCAGCTTTGGATTCCTGTGTTTGTGACTTTGTTTTTAAAGACCGTATCTTGCTGTTTAGTGGTGAAGCAGGTTGTAGCGGTTGTAGCCCCCCCAGGCACTGGACGGGGGCTTAAGGGCCTCC